CATCCAGCGCTTACAGTACCACATTTGAAGTCGAAAAATACTCATTATGACGGCGTTTTATTTGGACACTATGAAATTTTAAATGAAGATTCTCTTTTGCTCAAAGTGCTGTTTTTTGGTAGCTTTTATGTTTTATTAAAGTTCTTATTTTATTTAGTTTAAGTTTCGGTGTTAATTTACAGGTTACACGGCAGTGTGAGCCGTCAGATAAGTCCCTTCCTGGACGTTCAAGTGGAAGGCACAAAGGGAAATACATTCCTCACGAGGTAAAGAGGGTCTTTAGACTGTTTCCTGTTTGGGAAATGGTTTTGTAGCCTGTCAGAAAAATGTAGATGTTTAGAGTTCTATATAGAATTTTTCTTAGGTTGCCAAACAAGAATTTCATATTCAGCTTCGTTTTGGAGGAAGTAAAAGACGTGCACCTCACTGCGTTTTGCAGTGGGTTAAGTATGATTGCAAAGTCACATATCTCAGTGGTGAAACCTCAGTCACTTCATTTGACCTTGTAGATAAACGATATTTTCCTCTACTTTTCTTTAGTAGAGTTAGGAGCTTTGCGCAACCAGAGCATGTAGATAATATTCTGGAATGATATTAGTTGATCGGGTTTCCTGTCTTGTTTGATCAAATCATCAGCACAGTTGAAAAACTTTCTGTTTTGTTTTATTGCCACATTTGCTCATTATAGATGGAATGCAATTACTATGTACTGTCGTTTTTTTTCATTTCTTTTCCCTCTCGTAATCTTAACTATTGCTGGCTCAGAAGGATCTTGATGTGGGATGAAAAAGTATATCATTTGAGTTATACCAAGAAAAAGCTTTGTAAGTGCTCGATTAATTCGAGTACGTATTTCTTTGCTATGTGGTACTATTTTTTACCTCTCATTTGTGCTCGTGAATAAAGGTACTAAAATCCTGAAGGTCATGGTTTTTTTTGTCATTCATAAACTAAGGCATCAAAATTTTTGTTATGCCTCCGTGCTTCATGTCATTTCAGCGAATACAGTGTATTGTTTTAGCACCATTCTGGAAAAAGAGCATCTGAAGACGATAAGTTCTGTTAGGGGTTGCCCTGAGTTGTGTGTTCAGATCGTTTTCTCCTTTTCGGTAGTTAATTTGTTTAGAATGTTCATAAAGCATCAGTAATAAAATGTTTTATTGGCTGCGGGTTTTCAATATATTTTTCAAGAAGAGCTTACGATAAGAAAGGTTATTACTGCTTCTTGGTTCATGTGTTTGGTTGAAATCAGAAAGTTTGTTTTAGTGTCGTAAGCTCT